CATGTTTTAAACTTTTTGCGTATCTAACATTTTAAATGCGTAATTGGTACGCAACAATTAAATTTCAATGCATATTTTACCCGGATACGCAGCTTATCTGGGCCTCTGTGTACTATCCCCAAGTTTGGTGGTAGCATAATGATATTCATACACCTGTTTTTGTACTTTAGGACTTTAAAACTGTGACAATGGCTATGTTTCATTAAACTGTGACTAACACTATATCAAAATGCTCTGTAATGCACATCACTTTTGCCCATGCTGGAATATTCCCAGAAGCTGCATAAAACGATATTCACATACTAACCATGCTCTCACTACTTCTAAATGAAATAGAAGAAGTTGAATATACAATCTTTTCTAGTCTTTTATTTCTTTATTCAGGTCTGCAGTGATAATGTTTTTAAAAAAAGAAAGAAAATGTTTCTCCACTTTCTTAGAAGTTTGGGTGAGAGGATAAGTCTGAGATACATGGTTTCTTAAAAAAAAGCCTACAGTTCAGAAAAAGAGTCTTGAATGTGTCATGTTAAATATCTCTGTAAACATGGCTTATACGCACTTTCTCAATAAAACTGTACATATTGGTCACCATTGTCTGCCACAGGCAGCATTGCTTTGTTATCAATGTTAGTGTCATAGCTGTCCTTAATCTGACTGGCAGAAACAAGTTACAGAAGAAAAACATATTAAAACATTTCACTTTTCTCAAAAAAATGTTAAACATATATCAAACTGAAACATATGTTACTGTCGCTCGTAAAACCTCGGATGATGGTTTTAGAATTAATATCAATAGCTTGTCAAAAGATAATCTATAAAGAAGTTCCCCCAAATACCGGACTCCTAAGTTCGTCCATGTATTTCATTGCAAGACAGTGAAATGTTTGCCGAAATCTTCTGTAATCAATAGTTGTTTGGTTGTCGCCAAGATTGTAAATGTCAGTAAAACATACCTACCCCATATATTGTGTGTAGCATAAGTGTGTAATCAAGAGATAAAACCATATGAAAATAATGCTAATTTTGTAATCAGGTTTCATAAAACAAAAACCTTAAAATAGAAATAAACGTCAAAATTTGTCAAATGTGTTCCATATGTTTAAATTTTGTAAAAGTTATGGTTAAGAATGAAACATTCATTACTGCCCCATACTCATAAAAGGAATATTTTATGAACCATTGCCATTTGTTGCAAACATTAGGTTACCAAGATGTTCATAATTAACATACAAAAGTTCATTAACAATTACACTTTTCCTTGCAACAGTGATTGATATACATTGAACAAACATCTGTTACAGAAACATATGTTACACAATTTACGAAACTAAAACAAAATTTAATTAATTAGCTCTGTTTTGAGATTCCACGTGTTCATTTTGGACACATTGATCACCTGGAAAGTTGCTCTGAATATCCCAAATATAGGTTACCTTTCAAAACATTAGTATTAAGTTATTCGTTAATTGTTAATGGTTATTACTTAGTAACACACGTTCCATGAAGAACTGAATGAATAAGTTTTATTTTTAAAAATTATGAAAGCTAGGAACAAAGATAAAGTTCCTATTGTCTCAAACAGAGGCTTCTGTTACATTTAAATACAAAACGATTAATGTTGAAAGATGATTGTTAATTGTTAAACGTTTGTAACATACGTTACAGGAAAGTGCACGGCCCACAACATGATGTCCAGATTATGTTTGCAGCAAACATTTATCATAACGGTTCAAGAGTAATTAACTCATAACCTAGTGATGTCAAATCTAGCCTAAACAAAAGTTCTCCTGCATATTTCCTGTTTGTGTGTTTAACTATAGCAAAACATTGTGAAGTTGATTGTTAAAAATGATGAAAATGTGCTCTGCATACATTGTCTGTTTACCAAATCGACTATAATTCTTGAAAACAAACAATGAATAAATTAATTCATGGGGCCATTGCTATGTTTTTCAGTGTTCTTCTGAAATATGAAAAATATGACAACATATGTTACAACACCATACCCCTCATAATTATAGCTACCTCTTTGACACGAGTGTGAGGGAGTGAGTTTAGTTTTACGCCGCACTCAGCAATATTCCAGCTATATGGCGGCGGTTCTTTGACATGAAAAGAATGATCTTTGTAACATGTTGTCCAGTTTTCACCATGTTAAACATGAGTTTACTATTATGGTATCGCAAGTCCTTTCTTTTTACCAAGTTTAGTTTAACAAGAAATGGTTTCAGTGCAATCCACGAAAATATTGTTTATTTAGGTTTCTTAAGATGAAGGCCTTTTTGTATGCAGTTTGTAACAATGTTTAAGATAACACACTAATGAACTTATATGAACTTATAACTTTACTGAAGGTACACATAACATAACGTATTTTCTATTTTAATGTTGATATCAAAATACATACTTACACTGAAACCTATAGAACATGGAAACAATTTATGCTACAAGGCCTTAAAATCAGATCAGACTAGGCTGAATAATTGTCCCTATAATTTTTCACTGTTTAAGTTAACTTGAAACAATTTTTAGAAATTGTTCTCTGCATGTTGTAACTTTCAGGGAATGTGCATTTTAACATGTCTGGGAAAAAAAATTTGTTCTCCTTACTGAAATATCAATGTACCATTTCATTGAGAAATAGCGTACATATGTTGTCTTCCATGTTCATGATTTCAACATTATTACGATGTGATCTAGATAATATCAATCGGTGCTGTAATAATAACCAAACAATATATTGACTGCTTGATGCACCTGAATTAACAATTCAATGTGAACTAACTCAGCCAAGCCTGTGAGACCACTCCTTGGCATATTTGTTGAATATTGAAATGGTAAACAATGGAAATGTCAAAGCTTTTCACCTCTATATCATCTATATCTTACTATTACTTTCATTTCAATCAATACCTACTAGAGACACCTGGCAACTATCATAACAACAGACACATGTGGTGTTATCTTTATCAGAGTGTGTGTGTACAATGACAAATGGATGCTGTAATGGCTGATTAACAGATGTTGAAGAAGTCTGCCCTAAGTGTGAGTGAGTGAGTTTAGTTTTACGCTGCACTCGGTAATATTCCAGCTATATGTAATTATGTAAATAATTGAGTCTGGACCAGACAATCCAGTGATCAACAGCATGAGCATCGATCTGCGCAATTGGGAACCTATGACATGTGTCAAACAAGTCAGCGAGCCTGACCACCCGATCCCGTTAGTTGCCTCTTACGACAAGCATGGGTTACTGAAGATCAATATTCTAACCCGGACTCTGCCTTTGACCTTAAAAGGATGTTTAAATGGAATATGGAAACTAACCCAAATGATCATAAAGGGGATCCCAGGCCTAAGGATAGAGTTGGAATTATTATTTAGTTACTTCTGTTCATTGAAGACAAGGTCCGCAACAGCTCTTACTCTTAGCCTGAGCTCGGTGACATTGTCTTCAAGTCCATACATGATTTGTAACGTGGCATGTCAAAAACAGCTACCGCCTCCATAACACCTCACTAAGGTCAGATGAAGTGGGGCATCACGTTTTAAAAGCATCAACCTCTGCAGATATTTGTCTGGTAAAATAGGTAGTGACTTGATATTTGTTCAAATCTGAAAACGTAACTTCATACAAAATCAATCCCAACCAGTTATTTTTAGCTTTCAATAATCCTTTTATGAATTGTGTTATAATACCTTATTCTCCCTATGTTTGGGATTCATTGCTGAGACATAATAAAAGAGACAAATAAAGCGATCCACTACTAAGCTTAGTGTGTTATGATTTCATCACATCAGGAATTACTACAGAATAATATTTACAATTTCAGGCCTTTGACCAAATGCATGTCCAAACCCCTGACCCGATCAATATTAATCTTTGCATCATAGTTTTGTATTTCCATGAATATAATGATGTAAAATTTATACCTTTAATCAGAGTGGGTTTTTTAAATGATGATTCAAAAGTTTATGGACTTTCAATATGTCAGTGGTTTCATACAACGGCCAAATTGTTTAATACAGCATATACCTGGTTCCCATGCTTAACTATGGCATAAAGTCAAAATCAAACTCCCAAACAATACCTTGTAATATTTTTATATGTCACTTCCAACTGGTTAATGTAATCATTGGCGATTCTCATATATTCACAAGCTTTTATTCACATCGACCCTCCCAAACACCCACGCACGACTCCTACGACTATGAAAATTTTAATATGTCTCTTCATGACTTGTTTATATCTCATAATATATATATCTTATAATATATTCACACATATGCATGCACACATACATATGTGTATATACATGTTCATGTCACAAGTACTAATCGCCGTATGAAGCATGCGTGTAGACAATCAAGACGGTGAAACAGTAGATCCCGGGGTCTCGTGTGACGAACCCCACCCCTTCTCACTTTCTCAGCGTAATACTACTTAAATTCTGAAGTTTCTAAATAACTTTCAGTTATTTTAAAGCAAATAATGCAACCGTCACTTTTTCATGCCCTCTCCAATACTTGTCATTAATTTTGGCGACTCACACATTTTCTCTGTCTCCCGCTAAACTTGAGCAAAAAGACCGAGTCAACGAATCGTGATTCATATGGCATTTTGAGAACCACTTTCAGATATTTCTTTTAGTTAGTAATCAACAGATAAACAAACCAAAAATAACCACTGGTGATAAAGATAAGATAAGACCGGTATCACAAAATATATTCGGCTGAAAAGAAGTTCTTACCCGACCTGCAAAGTTGTGCAAGCGAATGTTCGTTTGACACATCATGCTTACCGATAAATATAGGTGACCTTGACCCGAAACGTAAACAACCTTCACATTTGAACGAATTTACATTTGTACATACCCATATCTTTATATTTAGAGCTTCGTTAAAATATCATAAGTGAATTCTAAAATACAATCATTGTTTATTAGGATTGTTTTCATAAATCTCATATGCGCGATAACATTGTTTCCATGACAGTGTAAACAATCAGCCGCCATCTTGGCTCCACTCGCGAAGAGGTTGCTTCTTAGAGATGTTTTGACAAGTAGTTGAACCAGTTGTAGGAAAGACCATACGTAGCAAGCCAACATGCCGAAAAAATCCAAAAAGGGCAAAGGAAAGGGAAAGAAGGGGTAAATAATTCATTTTCCTGAACATGAATGGTACACGAATGACCAATGTTTAAAAACTTGCATTTACGCCAAATTACGGAGTTGAGAAAATAAATACCGGTATGTGCTGATATGTACCAGAATTATTTTTGCGGTATTGTAGGACATGTTTAGTATCGATGTAATGATAACTTGAAAAAATAGACTTGTGTCCAGTTTAAAACTTTCGGTTTGAGTGAAAATACCATTTAAAAAGTTAATACGGTACAGTATGCATAGTTTATTGGGATACTGTATGCGTCTACACTCAATGCATGTTCATGCAGTTTCATGATAATGTATAAATTGGCAATTGTATAACAGTATTGGAGCAAAAGTATATGCCACGGACAGCAAATATCCCCAGAATATACCAAAAAGGACATCACAAAATTAAAACGCAAACTCATCGATCCAATTGAAAATTTAATTTAGCACCTTTGTTTATACAATGACAGGAATACGGGGTGTGTGTTTTAGGATTTGACTCTCTTGCAGAAACCACATGTTCGTGCAATCTTGTTTAATAATGTGTGCCACACTTGTCTAAATTAATAAATGTGTGTCAAGCACAATATTTGAAAATACATACACACAATATGTAAACAAACTATAAAAAAAGTCATACACTTGACCATTATCAACTAATTCAACTAACACATGTAAAAAACAACCAATATTTTGCAGACTGGAAATTGCTGCAACTTTAACAATTTCTCAAGAGAATCATATCACCAGCTATGTATTTCTGTTGCAGGAAGAAGGGATCAAAGAAAACAAAGAAGAATGAATCAGTTGTTGCGATTGCAGCTGCAAATTCAAGAGTATGGGAAGCGAGGTTGGATGTGGCTGAAAAGTCAAAACAAGAGTTTCGGTAAGTCATTCACTTGGCTTTCTGATACATTTGACTAAGATATGACACTTAGATATGCTGTAGTGTTTTATAATAGACTAACGAATAGTCTCTGAAATGAACATATTTTACAGAAAAAAAGTTCATAGTAGAAAAATAAAATATAATGAAAAGGAGCCCTGAGACTTTCTTCATTTTCAGAGACTAAACACATCTGCAGAGGGATAATTTCTTAGAATTTCACAACTGGTATAAAGATTCTTATCACCCATTACTGCTGAAATTGTGTGTGACAGGAATATTTATTGCCCACAACACCTCCCCGTCCTACTGTCAGGGGTGAGGGCAGTTTTGGGGGAATGACTATCAGGTGTCTCCAAATCTAATTTGAGAGCAAGCAGGGATACCAGCTAAGGGTAGCATCTCTTGATATTCCTATAGCTGGACAACTAGATCTCTTATAGTTACTTATATTCTCCAAAATCCAAAGATTCTGTCTGTACTATATGTGGAAGTTTAAATGATGTCGCATCGAACAGTAGAAAACTTTGTTTTAGAAGCTGTGGAAATCTAGACTTGCCACATTTTCTAGATTTGCATGGGCTTTCTTGGATATATTTGCTTCAGGGTCTGTATGACAGACTAGTTTTGTAACAACATGAACATCAAACAAATCTCCTTTTTTGTCTCTTTTTTTTCTTGGTAAACTCAACCAATACAGCTTGATTGATCTAATGAATAATTTGAAGAAACATGTTACACAGCCAGTTTTATTGGAGGTGAAAGTGTTCTGTAGTGCATTCTCTGTGCAGAGGTGCATCGAAGTTCTAAATACGCTGCATATTTCTGCAAAATAAGCAAAAGATATTGCCAATATACTGTTAATATTTAAGTGAGTGGAATGTGTGAAAATATGGATAAAATGTAAAAGAAAACATACACAAGTTAACCTTTTCCGTGTTCATGCCTATGTTTCTTAACTGATATTTTTTACCAATTGAATGACAGGAACCACACCTATATGCAGTAAATAGTGCACAAATTATGACCTGAAACAGTATTTTCGACAACATAATTTTAAGAACTGGTCAATGCTGATTTATGAATTTCCAGTAGTGAATGAGTGAGTTTAGTTTTACTCAGCACTCAGCAATATTCCAGCTATATGACGGCAGTCTATAAATAATCCAGTCTGGACCAGACAGTCCAGTGATCAACAGCATAAGCATCGATCTGCGCAACTGGGATATGATGACATGTGTCAACCAGGGTTTTACATAACACGCGATTCCTGCGTATTTGATGCAACAATTTTGTAAATGACTCTCAAAATATTATCATACGAGTCAAGCTTGACGCAAGTTTTATGGGTGGCCCTCACAATTCAGTTCAATAAAATCAATTTGATAAGCAAAAATGATATTGTTCGATGATAGTTTGACTTTTACAAAGCTGTCAGATTGTTCCAGAGAACTCAGAGGAGACAGTATTCCTGGCTGTTTGAATTGAACAATGCTGTAGTTTCATTTTGTGGTGTGACATAGTTACATACAGAGAATGATTAACACAAAGAAATACTAAAATTTTCATGACTCCCAAATATTGAAAATGACTCCCAAAAATAAATATGGTGAGTCACCATGACTCCCATTTTTAAAAGTCTGTGTAAAACCCTGGTGTCAACCAAATGAGCGAGCCTGACCACCCGATCCAATTAGTTAACTCTTACGACAAGCATGGGTTCCTGAAGGCCAATTCTTAGTAAACCCGGATCATCAGGGGTGAGTTTCTAGTAGACTTGAGGGAGTAAATACTCCTTGTATCAAGTCACATCTTGAGTTTTGGCTTTCCTACTACACGATGCTGACATGATTTCGTTGGCATACTGTGAAAGTTTGCATCCAACTCACCACGCTTGCAGATTATTCTCAAACACAGACTCAAACAATTCTGAAACACTTAAAATAATGAAGTCCCACTTACTGTGTGATTTACTGCAGGATCTGCATTTGCATTTGTGTATTTTGAACTTGGTAATGTTTTGTAGGGACAATGCCAAACATTTGATGTTGGAGAATGACGCTCTGCAGACTCAGATGTTACAGACAGAGCAAGACACCATCGATGTCATCACCTACCTCAAGAAACAGGACCAGGACAAGGATACACAGGTAGGTAATTGTTGCAGTATACACGGAGGATACTAAACAGCCTTCCGTGGAATATCATTTTTATTAAACTTGTGAAAGCTTTGGTATCAAACTTGCTTTCACTCGTTTGATACCAAATCATTAACTCGGATAATAAATATGGTATTTCACAGAAGCTAGTTTAGTATTCTGTTTATTACCCTCCAACATAAATAGATAGAAACTGCCTACAGCGTGATGACTCTCAGTTTTCCGTGAGTCAAGCAAGGTCTAATTCCATTGTGACAGAAGTATTAGCATTGTGACGTCAAGACTGCATGTAGACCATTATACGTCCGCCATCACACGATGTTATTACACAATGTGTATTATCATTGTTGAATTATTAAACAGTGATATCTTCATCGGGTGAGTAATAAAAGAGTATGTTCCAGCCCTGTGATGAGGCCTGATAATGATATTGTTGTGGTTATACCTAATTTCATAATAGTGGTATAATTTCTAGGACATTAACAGATTGTATTTCATAATATCCTATAGGTTACACAACACCAAATATTTTCCCATTGATTTCAATAGTAACGACATATTTAAAAAAAAAAAATAACTAAGCCCTCAACTGCTATTACCTGTATATGTGTTTCTTAGTACAGGAGGCTAGACCAACCACAGTATGTGCAGAATGTCACCCGCTTGAAAATACCTGTTGTCACATTCAGCATAAGTGATCATGTTAAAATGGCAGCACTAAACATTGTCTGTTTAAATTACAGGATGGATGTAAATTTTAAAATAAACAAAAATCTTACACAAAGTCATCCAGTTACAGCTGTCAGATGTCAGATGTGTATCTGCACTCTAAGAAAACTGCTTGTTAAACTACAGATTGTGACTTAGTGTGGTACAAACTGTAAAGATCTCATTCATATTTGGGAGTTACATGGAAGAATGCTTTTCTTGGAAAGCTATGTAAGTAAGTTAAGCAGTGTTTCATGTGTGCTCTTTGTCAAGATCAGCAAGTACCACTGAAAGAAATGTGAGGATCAGTACTTTAAATTAGGGTCACAATAGAAGTCATTCTTTTCCCACAGAGGTTACTTGTCATATCTTCCTACAAAACCTCTGTTCTAATACGGCCCTTTCATGGTTCGAGTGTTCAGGATTCATGATTGGTTGCAATCAGATTTAGTTGTGCAATCAGCGATGTTGTTTCAAAAGTGATCATTCACAATGTCTCTGTAATTTCTGTATGCTTCGGGAAAACTAGAACCTCTTCTCCTGCACGATGCTCAAACGTTTCTTCTAGACAGAACTCAATCATGTAATAGTGGACCAATGGCGTCTACATCGCCCTCGTTGACAACAGACAAGCTAGCCATTAACAGACATCAGGGCTGGTAACTTCAAAGTGTTACCAGCCCCAAATGGATTTAACCTGACCGAATATGGTAAATTTAGTCAGATGTATGGAACATCTAAAATGTTTACCAGACCGTCGGGCTGGCTAGCTGTAAATTTAGACCTGGTGTCCGTCAGAAATCTAGCCTGTCTCGGGCGGTCGGACGGGCCTTATTTCATACACTGCCATTAAATGCCTTGTGTGTCACATCAACACATGTCCCCGGCAGAGGAGGGATATTTGTGGCCCCACATTTGTTTGTATTAGTCAAGCTGGATCTAAGTCAATGTAACATGTGTTTTGAGTGGATAGAAACAAGGGAGATAATTCGATTTTTTGCCGCCTGGGGATTTTACGAGAACCGGGAAATATGGCCGTATTAGAACAGAGGTTCGTAGGAAGATATGACAAGTAACCTCCCTGGGAAGAGAATGAATAGAAGTTAGAACCAGTGTGCCGTTCCACTAACCGATCTTAGCCCTATGCCAATCGTAAACCCCTAAAATCCCAATCTTAGCGTGACGTTACGATCGGCATACCGTTCCACTAACCAATCTTACCTAAGTCAATCGTAAAGTTAAGATTCAAAGTCTAAGTTGCTCATGACCAACTTAGGATAGCTAAAATCAATCGTAGAGAAACCAAAATGGTGGCTTTCCTATTCTATGTGAAAAATAAGAGCGAGCATTTCACCGTGAGCGTCCCCTAAATTCCCCCATGAAATGAATTTGTATATTTCTGTGATGTAAACAAACACTGCACTGAAGCCTTACAAATGTCAGGCCAGTCTGACCACTGTCGTCATGGGGAACACAACCGGCGTGTCGGTATAACACATTTGTACAACAGTATTGCAACGTCATGGTTAAGAATAGGGACAGCCGTAAAAGTGAACAATGTTCTGAAGCAAAAGATACAAATATGTTTGATTTCACTGCATATTTGGTGTGGGATTCTAAAGGCAGGCCGGCGTGTTATTCAAGACCACGCCTTGTTTATTCTTATTGACAAGGTTAAGGCACATATTAAAAGCTCTGACACAATTGACATTTTAAAGTCCAGACTTAAAACCTGTTCTCTGTATATTACTTATAATCTCGGCTGTAAATATTCTCGAAAGTAAATTATCTTTACACAGCTTTGAGCATGCCCAAGGATGTGGAATAGGCACTATAAATATGCATTTATTATTATTATATTATGCTTGATACCCAGCGTTCACACGCACTTGCACCTGAAACCAAGGTGCTCACTACCCTAATATTTTGCTCTAGGTTTTTTCTCCACGTTTACACTTGGTTGGAAAAATACCCATGAAGGCCTGGGTTAGAATATTAAACTTCAATAACCCATGCCTGTCGAAGAGGCCACTAACGGGATCGGTTGGTCAGGCTTCGCTGACTTGGTTGACACATGTCTTTGGTTCCCATTTAGCGCAGATCGATGCTCATGCTGTTGATCATTGGATTGTCTGGTCCAGACTTCGAGTATTTATAAGCTAAGATACATAGCGCGTTCACTAACATGAACGCTCATGTTAGTGAACGCTATGCATCTTAGCTAGATTATTTACAGACCGCCGCCATATAGCTGGACTATTGCTGAGTGCGGCGTGAAATCTAAACTCACTTCGTAAACTACTTTCAATCATTTGCTAGACTATGCAAAGGGAGATAACTCGTGCCTCGCATTCCTGTATCTCTTGCACGAAAGAGTCTCGATCTAAGCTTGGATCGGATCGTAAGATCGGGACCGGCTATGATCGGCCTAAGATCGGTTAGTGGAACGGGTGTAACTTTTAGCTAAGACGATTGTAAAATTGGCGTAACTTGCTAAGATTGATCTTAGATAAGATCGGTTAGTGGAACAGCACCCAGGTCATTTTTTTTTTTAGGTCTGAGTATATCATCTGTGTCGCAGTATGTGAATATTTCAGCAATGTTTGTAGTATTACCTGTATATTGCAATACACATTTTCATGCCTTTACCATAATGTACAAGTGCAGATCTCAGAGCTCTGTTATCAGTATGTTGTCTACAGTGCCATGTACATATGTGTGTTTGTATCTTGTTTGTGTATTGCAATGTACATGAGTATGTCATCTGTATCACAATGTGTATATTTCAGCAATGTTATCTGTGTGTTGTTTATGTATTGCAATTCCTGAAACACAATTGACATGTATATTAGAGCTCTTTCCAGTATACTGTCCATATTGCAAGGTACATTTTTATCCAGTTTCGCAGTTTACATGTGTGTTACAATTTGAGCTCTGTCTCATGACAAACATGTCTAATTGAGCTCTGTCACCTGTGTGTTGTCTTCATTACAGTGTACATTTGTGGACCTGTCTCATGGCCAACATGTCTATTTGAGCTCCGTCACCTGTGTGTTGTCTTCATCGCAGTGAACATTTGTGAACCTTTCTCATGGCCAACATGTCTAATTGAGCTCCGTCACCTGTGTGTTGTCTTCATTACAGTGTACATTTGTGAACCTGTCTCATGACAAACATGTCTAATTGAGCTCCGTCACCTGTGTGTTGTCTTCATTACAGTGTACATTTGTGAACCTGTCTCATGGCCAACATGTCTATTTGAGCTCTGTCACCTGTGTGTTGTCTTCATTACAGTGTACATTTGTGAACCTGTCTCATGACAAACATGTCTATTTGACCTCTGTCACCTGTGTGTTGTCTTCATTACAGTGTACATTTGTGAACCTGTCTCATGGCCAACATGTCTAATTGAGCTCCGTCACCTGTGTGTTGTCTTCATTACAGTGTACATTTGTGAACCTGTCTCATGGCCAACATGTCTAATTGAGCTCCGTCACCTGTATGTTGTCTTCATCGCAGTGTACATTTGTGAACCTGTCTCATGGCCAACATGTCTAATTGAGCTCCGTCACCTGTGTGTTGTCTTCATTACAGTGTACATTTGTGAACCTGTCTCATGGCCAACATGTCTAATTGAGCTCCGTCACCTGTGTGTTGTCTTCATCGCAGTGAACATTTGTGGACCTGTCTCATGACAAACATGTCTATTTGAGCTCCGTCACCTGTGTGTTGTCTTCATCGCAGTGTACATTTGTGAACCTTTCTCATGACAAACATGTATATTTGAGCTCCGTCACCTGTGTGTTGTCTTCATCGCAGTGAACATTTGTGGACCTGTCTCATGACAAACATTTAAATTTCATGTCATAAACATAGTAGATGTGATATTGGTATCTTCATCATGATATCCGGAAGTAGGCCATATTTAAAGCTAGCGAAGTCTCGCTGTGCGAGATCTCGCGAGGCAAATTACCCATAAACCCTTCTTCATCATGGCCTCAATGTAGATAGACACGTGAGCCGGCCATTCCGTAAGTTTTGATCGTTTTCACTTGCATAGATTGGTATGAATAACTATTCTTCCATCAAAGGGTCCATACAGGACCTAGATGGTATACCTAAGCAGAAAAATGTGCCCGTAGAGGCATACATCTGCAACCGATGATATGTCGAAAAACCACGTGGATGGTTTGGGCAAGTCCCATCAACCCCAACCATCGGGTCGGGACAACAAGCGAGACTTGGGGTTGGATAGCCACTCTAATCAGCACAAAGCGTGCTCG